GGCTTCACAGAGAGGAGGAGGAGCATCAAAGTGACAAAAATTCGAGGAGATGGGGGGTGGACAGAATAATGATTCACAGATGTGAAAGAGACAGATAGACACAAAGGCAGGGAAAAGGTAAGATGAGTACTGTGGAAGTGGTGGAATATGGCATACAGTGGGGTCATGGTAGTTTGAAGTGAGAAGTCAACTCCCGGTTAATTAACTTTTTTGCCGTATGAGTATACGTTGCCCAGGGTGCACCACGTGGAGGTAAGTCTATCGTACACCCCATCTTTCCGAAGTAATTTATTGAATAGTGCTATGATTTAAAAGAAAAAAATATTACCATTGCTGTGTCTGGCTCTCACTTGAATCACGACTTTTGCCTGATTTCAGCCATCATCCCCAACGTCGAATTCAAACCCCTCTTAGTTATGGAATTCTGCAAGGATCCGGAAGGTTTGCATGGTGAGGTGGAGTTTCGGCAACAGCAGTGTGTTGATCAACGATGCCAGTGTATAAATGGAAATTGGTTCTGCATTGACACCTGCACTCCACTTGAGGAGCTCGACTGTGCTCCGGAGGAACGCATTTTCTGGGATCCCTTCTGCTGTCCTCGGTGTAAAGGTGGGTCTTCTTTTTCAATTGAAGGGTTTGTTGTTTTAAGGACAAAACTAACGACGGCAAACGCATGACTCGTTCCTTGGGAGAGAAATATGATTTGGCTGTTTTTGCATATTTTTTATATTATGTCTTTTCCCAATCATTCTACATTTCAAATTCTCTTTGTAAAGTTCGTTATATTATCGCCTTTTTGAGTATTGATTTATTAACTCAGGATATATTTACAGTTAAAACACTGTCAATTTTGAGTGTATATCGATATTCTAAATAAGATATATTATATTTAAATACTCTATGCCAGAGTGACGTAAAAACGTCAAATTACTTTTTTTTGACATAAAGTCCAAAAGGATACTGAGAGTAACGTCTTACTTCATTTATCCTTTGACCTCGAATTCGAAAATATTGAACAGCACCATGAAAGTTTGTTCAATTTTAGTCATTGACACATTGATTTACATTGGGAAATTCGCCCCTGTTGAATCTGTTTTAGCCTATTACATAAGTTATCAGTAGAATCTACCATAAATGAAATTGTGCAATGTAGAACGAGCTTAAAATTTTCATTTCCCTATCGATCGAGTCTCAATATTATTTCTCAGACGAATGTATCAATTGCTTCAAATCTAAAAATAAAATTATATTCGATTAGTACACGATCCAATAATCATTATTTCGATCAGTGAAGCAAAAGGTCGTGAGTTTTTAATGTTAGGAACGCGCGCGCCTGAATAGGAGTACAATAAGGGAGGAAGAAGGGGTTGGATCTCTGCATTGTTTCATTACTTTCAAATTTTGCCAAGCTTTGCAGTCTTCCAGGCTAATCAGCAAATCATTACCGATTGGCTTAATTGACACACTGGCCATGGCACGCTGATTCGCTTTCTATCTTCTTGTTAGTGAGCAAACGAGACCTGGAAACCTGTTTTAAACGTGTTATCTTTACTCAAGAGGAACTCAAATGTCAATGACATTATTTTTCTCACCTACTCCTGACGTATTTCTCGCCATATAATCTAAGTATTAGAATAAAAAGTTATTGCTTATAGAAGAGCTCTATAACTTAGCTAATGATGGAGTTTGTGTGTGAGTACATATTTATCGATTACCATGCTCTTAATCTAATGATCCTTTACAAAAAATAATCACTATTTAATCATCTAACCAATATAAACAGTATGAATATTTGTCAGCATTGTTGCTTCTACTTTTGCTATGTTTCTATGTTAAAAAATATCTGCGAATATTGCTCCCCGAATTAGGAAAATCTAACGTTCTAAAACTCCGTGCAATTATCTCTTAATGATCCAATTTGATATATTTACAACACAGCAAAGTTACTTTCAAAATGAGCTGCGCACGAATTGTAGGAAAGAAAGGCTTCTTGTAGGGGTTGGGGGGAAGTGGGGGGGAGGTGGGGG